CATGAACATTTTTTTTGTATCGAAAAAATATCGAACCGTGACACCAAAGTATTGAACCGAACCGTGAATTTTGTGTATCGTTGCACCCCTAACATATTCATCTTCATGTTGGAAGTGGGGAATAAATAAAATCCCCCGTGTCTTGACGCGTCTCTTAGGCTCGCAGTGCACTGGTGGAAACCCTACTGTTGTTTAGCTTTTCTCAAATAAACTGTCTGTGTGGTTAATTAAGCATTCATTCATTTATTGCTGTCACTGATGTGCTCATGCTGCACTTTTTTTTTTTTTTTTTTTTTTTTTTTTTGGCACATAACGACCCCTGTGGATAATTTTCTGCTCAGATTTCATGCAACAGACCTTTCACATGATGTGTAGCGTCTCCTAAAGCGTTCACTGTTTACTGTGCCTCACTTTCTGTATTGGTCCTTGTTTAGATCGGATCCCAGTGTGTCCACATTGGGCTTTAGGGCTATTTATACTTTTATTTAGAGCTTCCCGCTTGTATTTAGGTCATCCAAGATGCCTTTTAGTGCATCTTGGATGTATCCCATAAGCTTAACTCAAGTGCTTCTCATCCATGTCAAGGGAAACACAGTCTTTGTTAATTTAATTATGCAGAAAATTAAAAGGCATTTAACAGTAGTCTTATTTTAAGTGTCACTAAGAGAACAATATAGAAAATATTGTAGTGTGTTGTTGCAAAACTGTATAATTGTGTTCCTGTACACCAACCAAAAACAACATCATGTAAAATAACATCTAGGCCCAACAAATATTGAAAGTCAATCTTAGGATTGATTCAGGCTGATCTCTCACATATGGTTTCCCTCAGGAGAGTTCATCATTGGTCGTGTCATCAAGGCCATGAACTATAGTTGGCACCCCGACTGCTTCTGCTGTGACATTTGCCAGGCTGTGCTTGCAGATGTGGGCTTTGTCAAGAATGCTGGCAGGTAAGCGTCCCATCTGATTACAGTCATAAGACAGTGACAGCCTGTAAAACAGGTGGTTACACACGTCAAGCTGCTGACTCGATTGCTTTTGCATCCTAACAAAACAGCTATGATGGAGGGTGTCAAAACAGTTATTGAAGCTGCAGCGATCTCTCTTCACATCCCTTCCCCATTTACCTCAGGCACCTGTGCCGGCCGTGCCATAACCGCGAAAAAGCCAGAGGCCTGGGCAAGTACATCTGCCAGAAGTGCCATGCCATCATCGAAGAGCAGCCACTGATCTTTCAGAACGACCCCTATCACCCGGACCACTTCAACTGCACCAACTGCGGGTCAGTCTTCTCACTCCGCACCAGGGTTTTAGTGCAGAAAACCGCCCACACGCTTCAGAATACATTCAAGGTTCATAGAAAGACCGTCTTCATTAGTGTGTTCAGCCTGTGTTCGGCAGCTCATCATGCATTTGTTTCCCTTTGCACAGGAGGGAGCTGACAGCAGATGCCAGGGAGCTGAAAGGAGAGCTCTACTGTTTGCCCTGCCACGATAAGATGGGTGTACCCATCTGCGGTGCCTGCAGGAGACCTATCGAGGGGCGTGTTGTCAATGCCATGGGCAAGCAGTGGCATGTGGAGGTTCGTGAACGAGAACGGGCCTGTTTATGTACACAAAGTTACAGTCATGCAAAAGAAATCAGGGGTAACATGGCTTTGATTAAGCAGCTTGCTCCTTCAAAGAAAAGCCAAATATTTTAGGAGTTTGCTGCAGGAATCGTGTTAATGTGAGCCTGATTTGATATTTATTTAAAAGAAATGGTGATAGATGATTTTTTTTTCCCTCCTTGCAGAGTAGGAGCTTTACAAAAGAGGCCATTAAACACAAAGTAATGACAAAACCATTCATCCATCCATCCATCTTCCTAACTGCTTATTATATGAAAAAAAATCATATTAAAGTAATTCAGGCAGAACTTATGTGAGTGTCACAAGTGCTTCTATAAAATTAACATCACAAGTCAGAATACAGGAATGTCTCAAAGACTAATGATAAGTTCATAATAGTGTCTGACGTCATGCTGGCCGCCTTCTCTTTGCTCGCAATACACTGCTCAGCCACCGCATTAAAACCACTGACAGCTGTAGTGAATAACATCAATCATCTCATTACAAGCATTGTTGGAAAACCTTTGCTTCTGGCAAGGTTTTCCAACACAACAGCATTGCTGAACAGCTGCATTCTGTCCAGCACGATGGTATCCTGTGCCATACATCACAAACGGATCAGGAACGAATAAAGTCTTCCCCTATTATCCAAACTCCTCAGATCCCAGTCTAGTCAAGCGTAAGGGAGAAGCCCGATCCAGAGGTCAGGCGTCCATGACCAGAGTCATTCAAAGATGTTTTCGAGGTGTTTTTAATGCTGTAGCTGTTAAGTTTATGTGCAAAACAGTCTTTCCTCAAAAGCATAATAAAAATCTATAATGACTCTCATATTTAGTTACTCTTACTTATGCATAAGAAAATTAAGTTAATTAAATATCCAATTTGGAACCAAAATGCTGTAAGTGAGCTAATTTGGGAGATGTGAGCGCTTTTAAAAAGCTTATTTCTCCGGAGGCAGAGCGCGGCAGATCGAATTGTGTGTTTATCTGTATGGAGACTGCTGAGCTTTGTACTGTTCAAAAAGCTATCAACGGCGTATAGCACTCAATTTAATGCTAAAGATGGTAATTAGCCAAAATTAATTTAGATTCTACCCACTTCAGGAGTTTAGCTGGCAAGTGCCAGGAAAGTAGAAGAATTTTAAAAACACTCCGTGCACACCACCGGCAGTTTCTCCACAACACTGAGAGATAACCGCATCTTAAAAACAAACGGCGTAAAATAGCGGTAGCGCTCTTCCAGTAACCATTTCTTCTGTGGTCTCTGTATATGGTAGTAAACATACTCTGCTCATGTAATATTCATGTTTCTGACCGTTAGAGAAGTTGGCATGCTTTCTGGGTTTTTTATTTTTTAAGAGGTCTCCTTAACCCTCAGCAGTATTTGCTCTTTTTTGCAGCATTTTGTGTGTGCCAAGTGTGAAAAGCCTTTCCTCGGTCATCGCCATTATGAGAGAAAAGGGCTGGCATACTGCGAGACTCATTATAACCAGGTAAGAAAGAAAAACACAGCTCTGCAAGTACAATCTTGGCTTTGGAGAACACGACAGTGAAGTCTAAAAAAACCAAGAAAACCCCCCCAAACAGCAGCGCTAACCTCTTACTCCAGCAGCACATAAAAGAATTTGTGTTAGCTGGATAAACGCCTAATCTCCTTGTTTCTCTGTTATCAAGCTCTTCGGTGATGTGTGTTATCACTGCAACCGTGTGATTGAAGGCGATGGTGAGTATCAGGGTGATAAAGCTTGTAATCAGTGCAGTGTTTTTTATTTTTTAAGAAGTGCTGCTTGAAGATAGAGGAGCTCCATGTTTAAGATTTGTCCACATTTTTTATTTTATTTTATTTTACATCTTTATCCCTCCAGTTGTGTCCGCTCTCAACAAGGCCTGGTGTGTCAGCTGTTTCTCATGCTCCACCTGCAACACCAAACTCACTCTCAAGTAAGTTGAAGTGCTCATTTACAGCCAGCTGATTGTCGCCGTCCTCAGTTTTCTCCAACACCTCTGCATCGAGTCCTAACACTTGTCCGCGCGTATTATTCACTTCTCCTCCGACAACTCTTCCCTCTTTTGGCTCTTTTCCTTCTCTTCCAATTTCTTCTCTTACATGCTTCACTTGCTGCGTCTGTGGTAACTCAGAGATAAGTTTGTTGAAATTGACCTGAGGCCAGTGTGCAGGCACTGCTATGACCGCATGCCCGAGGAGCTGAAACGCCGCCTGGCCCGACGTGAGCGCGATGCCAAAGAGCGCAAGAAAAAGTCTGCTGTCTGTCAGTAGGAATCTTATTCTTTACAACTCACCACTCCATCGATTGGTTGGTGCAATCGCTTACTTACTACTTTTATTTGTGCTGTGCTCGTTGTCCCCCCCCCGACAGTGTGGCATGTTATTATTTCTTATTTATTTTGCAAAGCCAGTTATTTTGTGTGAGTGGTGTTTGTGCAAAACCTCTAAAGCGTACATGTTTACGCATGAGTTTGGTTCAGCTGATGCTTTAGTAGGACTGCAGTACTTATTCTGTATTAACTGCTGCTTATTTTCACTACAGCCGATGGGTTTGTAAAAGGGGGGGAAAAAAAGCAAGGTTCAGATGTTTTGTTGTATCTGGTCAGCAGTGATTTTATATATTTATTTATTTTTAATCCTTTCTCTTTGCAGGAACAAGTTTGTTGAGTTTGACATGAAGCCTGTTTGTAAAAAGTGCTATGAGAAGTTTCCTCTGGAGCTCAAGAAAAGGCTCAAGAAGCTGGCAGAGTCCAAATGAGCTGCTTCAGGCCAAACAACCTGGATGTTTTTGTCTGTGATGTATGTGGTGGTAAAATATCCAGGGGAACTACTGCTTAACAACACAAGAGCCTGGCATTTAATCGGTACATAAATATTAGAAACTTAAACCATTGTGGTCGTTACATAAATGTGCTTCATTAATGTGCTTTTTAGCTTTTTCTTTTTTCTTTTTTTTTTTTTTTTAAATACATTCCTAAATTAGCCAAAGTGATCATTTTCTTGTAAGGTAGAAAAATACAAGGAACAAAATTTGATCTTTACACTTGTGCCTTTAATATTTGAACATGTAATATGACTATAATGTGGTGCTATGCTTTCCTATATTTGTTTTAACGAGTGTGAGTCATTAGAAGGGGACCATTGTGTTCCTCAGAGTATTGTAACAGTGCCTCTTTTTGGGGGGGAAAACAAAATCTTAAATGAGCTGTTATTTTTGGGAGCTAGTAGCAATTTTCATCATTATGTGTTAATGAAACTGCATTGGGACAAACAGCTGTATAGTCTCTGGCACCACCCCTGTACCAGCCCGGCAGGCTATTCAGAGAATTATTACATGACTAAAACTGGGCCTTTGGGAGAAATGGGAACAGCAGAGGGTGCTGCTACTACAGAATCCGAGCCTTGTCTTTTAAAGTGTTGTCAGCACGCTCTCTATGCCTTCATTGTGTGTGTGGCTGTGTAAGGTTGTTCGTACGGTAAATGTTCATCACATATATTTTTTTCTACAGACAAATTAACATTTTGCGTCTTCCTGTGAAAAACTCTTCAAAGGATTTCAGATGAAATGACCCTTCAGCTGAATATTTAACCTGCTTTGTTTAAAATATTTTGCCGTGTCAGCATTTTGCTGGCAACAGCAAATCTTTTTAGAAAAATTAAGTGCCACACAACAAACTGCATTTGTTAGAATGATGAAATACTTTGGGGGGGGGAAAAAAAAGTTTACAGTTTACGGCAGCATATATTCAGTGTTTACCATCAGGATGAATGATCAATAAAGTATTTCTGAATACATTATCGTGACTTTTATTTCAAAAACACTGACTGTCCACTTTTTAGGCACACTGGTTTAGCTGATAATTAACACAAAAATCTAATGGGCCAATCATATGATAACAAGTCAAAGCATTTAGGCATGTAGACATGATCAGAGGACCTGCTGGTTTTCAAACCGATCACCAGAATGGGGAAGAAAGGTGATTTATGTGACACTGAACATGGCATGGTTGTTGGTGCCAGATTGGTCTGGGTAGGGTTAGAAGTGGAAAAAAAATGAAAGAAAAGAAAGCATGGATCAAAATGCTCGTATCAAAGTTGCAGTCTGCTGGGGGTGGTGTCCTGTTGTGTAATATTCTGTTTGCACACTTTGGGCCCCTCAGTACCAACTTCACAGCCCTTAAATGCCACTGTCTACCTGAATACTGTTGCTAGCCATGTCGGTCCCTTTATGACCACAGTGCGCCCATCTGATGGCTGCTTCCAGCAGGACGACACACCCTGTCACAAAGCTCAAATCACATCAGACTGGTGTCTTGAAAATGAAAATGTTATATGTACTCTACAGTCACCAGATCTCATCAATAGAGCAGGTTTAGGATGTGGTGAAACAGGAGATTAACATCATGGATGTGCAGCCAAAAAATCTGCATCCACTGCGTTATGCTATCATGTCAATATGGACAGGTGAGTGTATGTACGCCAAACATGTTCATGTTTTTTCAGACGGTGTAAAATTAAAATCCAACTGTCTAAATGTGTTTGGCACCACCATGCATTCAGTTTGCAATTCTGATTGCAAAGCTCCCGGACAGGATGTGACATAAACAAACTAACAAGCGCAAAACAGCATCAAACTTTGATTAGTAGATGAGCTGAGTATAAGAGTAAATCACAAGTTACAATGAAATTGGGATGAAAACCAATGTTACTCCCATTCACAAATATTTTGTCACTGATAAAGTTATTCTACAGTATTAAATGTTCTTGTAATGATCGCAATACATGTAAAATTCACCGCGAGACCTCTGTGAGTATTCATCCTGATGTTGACGTTAATATCACAAACCTTCAAATGATCCAATAACATTTGAGATGTTTCTTACACCACCAAAGTGAACCTGAATGTGACAATGAATGAAAAGCAATAGAATTACTAAAATCATTTGAATACATTGCCCTGGGACTAGAAATGCTCTGAAGTCTGGTGGCAGTTCCTGTGGGACATGGAATATAATTTTAGATGTCAAAGCAAAGACCCTCTGGCGGTGCCAGAGTTGATGGGGTTCACCAACAGCAATAGGATTCATCCTTTGGTAAGAAAAAAAAAGAAAAGAAAAGAAGTTCAAATGAGTCCTCTCTTAACATTTCTGATATTCAGTTTATAAAATAGCATAAGTTTCTAAAACTTGTGGCATAGGCACTTTAAACAGATCATTTTCAACATTCACAGATTTCCATGTATAGAATAAATGTTATAATACACAATAAAAAGGGCAATCCAACAAGACAGTAACAATACAAATATGTAAAGGTTTAACTTACGTTACAATAAGGTATATAAATACATTATAATGATTAGTAAAATCTCTTCACAGCTTTCATTATGTTACTTGCCACCTGACACTGGAGCAGATGACATTGAAATGGTATCTAGGCAACACTACAGTTAGCTTTGCTCAAGTCATCTTCCTCAAATTGACATTACGAGCGTAATTATTCATTTCGGTTACACTAAATTAAATAGTTTAATTTCTAGGTAAGGTCTGACAAGGAATTTACTAAAAAGAGTTCATGTTTAACAGACTGCTCAATTACTATTTAACAAATGTGGTCCTTATTATGGAATAAGGCATGCCTGAATAACCGCAGTGTGGTTGCTTTAGACTGAAATGAAGTCTTTCATGAATGTTAACTCATACATTAGGCAAGGCAAGGCAAGTTTATTTGTATAGCACAATTCAACAACAAGGTGATTCAAAGTGCTTTACAGAGACATTAGAAACAAAAACAAATAAAAGCATGATTTAAAATTGATTAAAATAAGCAAACAAAC